TAGTTAATAGAACATTGTCTCTCTGGTTTTCTCATAGAGAAGAGAATTGAGTATTTTCAAAACATATAGCACTGCTTGTGAGAAATGTCAAACAGTTCAGACAAAGGCTACCTCTCTGGTCGCTAAAACTGCACTTCTAATGGCAAACCTTTATTTGTATGTGTTTGTGATAATCAGAGATTATATAATTGCAGTTTGAACTCTCCATAAGGATTTCTTCTAATGCACTTCATTTTTTAATTGTCTTGCTGTCTGTGAGGAGCAGAAATGTTGTGTCTATTCAGGTAAGTAGTAGTGTGGCTGAGGAAACAGTTCCTCATCCGTGTGTGTGTGCACAGGGGTGTACATACAGACGCTACTGTGGGGATTAGTGATACCAGCCTCTCACACGTAAGGAAGTTCTGCAGTAACTTCTGGGATTCATGCACTCAGGTAAGCCACGTGCTGTGCAGCAGCATCTGTGTGGGCAGCTCTTGCCCAACTTGACACAAAACAAGAGGTGACTGTCGAGCTGGCTTTCCCGTTAGCGTTGCAGGGAAGTTAGTTACAACCTGAGGTTTTTGGCTCCTTATATGTACCTGTGAGGGTGCGTGCACCTTCATCCCATATCTGAAGAGGATCAGCTCTGACACACTCAGCTAATGTACCTGGTGTTGGTGTCTGTGAGGCTCTTGTGACAGCCTCTGAGTGAAGGAATGTTGAAAAAAATGTAGCTGCTCAAACTGGTGTAGTTACAGTGGGACATGTGGGCACGGGATGGAAATACGAATCCCTCCATGTTCTCCATCTGGACAGTCTTTGTGAGCTGTGTGGTCCATGTGGCCTCTGGCCATTGGCTGATAAGCACCAAGGGCTGGTCATGCTGGGCTTTTTGATTATGTTGACAGCTGATACCACAGAAGCATCAAATCACAGTCTACCTTGGTCTTACACTGAGTACTCAAAGGTGGAAAGCACTTCCTTGCCCTAGCTTCATTCTGTAGATGCTCGGAATCAGAACTTTAGGACATGCAATTAGATTGTGTAAAGAATTATGGGAAATTCCTGAAATAGTGAAGTGTAAGACAAAACTGCAGTTAAATGTGATCAAGCATTCATATCCTTCTTGGGTGACTAGTTTGGATGTTACTTGCATCACAGCAGGAAATTTACTCCCCTTTATCCCTCTCATTTTTTCCATTATGTTTCTTCTCATGTAAATATTCTTCTAGAAAATAAGCTATTTTCTTTCAAGTGCTTATGGCCACTCAGATTTAGCTGTAACCTCTATATGCATCTAATCACCACTCTTGAAGACAAATGAGGGGAAATTTTAGCAACCAATTGCTAAAGCCACTTGTACAACTTACACAGAATATATGTAGGTAGACTAGAAAATGAATACCAAAGTTTATTTCTTAGCATAACTAGTCCTCTGGACCCTGTAAGGAGTTTATTTATGCTTGCACTTAATCGCAGAAACAAAAGTAAATCCTGTTGGTGATATAAGAGAGTCACCACTGATAATCTGTAGCAGGTGAAGATAAATGTAAAGTCCATTAACCAGTTTACCATCTCTGAAGGTGATATGAGATGAATAACTTGGGGTTTTTTATCATGAATTTTCAAATGTTGCTTTTTTGATTCTTTGCTTTAGATAGTGCAGCTATCCAAAATAAATGCTGAGCACCCCAGATATAGCACTATAAAAATATTTGGGGTGGAAAGCAGATGTTTGGATGTAGTCCAATTTCATTTGGGATAAAGAAGTTGTAGATTCAGGTGGCTATCTATGATATTTTTGTTTGCTTGTGGTTTGTTTTGGTGGGGGTTTTCATTTATTTGTTTTGGGTTGTTTTTTTTTTGTTTGTTTGTTTGGGGTAGGTTTTTTGTGTTTTTTTTCTTAAGGGGAGATCTCACTTCAAGATTCAGTGTTCAGTATTTGTTGAGTATGTGGGTAGCTGGCCACAAACCCCAGACTTTCTCTGTGTCCTTCAGTACTGCAGGCAGTGGAGGGGAAGGTGCTGATCTCCTCTCTTGGGGATTAGAGATAGGACACAAGGAAATTGGAGGAAACTGCAGCTGATAATGTCTGGATTGGACATCAGGACAAGGCTCTTCAGTGAGAGGGTGGTCGGTCACTGGAACATGCTCCTTGGGGAAGCAGTCCCCAAGTCAAGATTTAAAGGATTGGATGACACCATGATATGGTGTATTTTTTGATAGTTCCACAAAGAGAAGGGAGTTGGACTTCATTATTCTTATAGATCTCTTCCAACACGAGATATTCTGTGAGTTGCTAGAAGAAGAAAAAATCTGTCCCCTGATGTGAAAGAGCTTGTTGCTCAGAGGTGGATAGTCTGTCACAGTCCTCAGCAATGTTGAAGAACTCTCAGGAAAGTAAAACTAGGAAGTGAACCTCTATCTTCTCTGCTTGATTTCCCAAATTACTGTGAAATTGCCATCAATGAAATTTAAATATTTCTCTGAAAGATTAAGCCTGTCAAATCATCCGTTTCTAATCAATGTGCACAATACAAGAATTCAGACATACAGATCAGGATTTACTTCCTTGTGATTTAGACCCTTCAACCTAATATAGACATTTTTCTGCAATTTAAGTCTTCTCTTTAGAATTAATCTTCAATGTTTACCACAGAAGTGATAAATAAATAAGCCAAAGAGTAGAAGATATAAATGAGAGAGGTTTGCAAGCAGAGGAGCGTAAAACATTTTTCATCTGTTTTGGCTAATTGCTTCTAGCACACACACTTTTTAATACCTTTATCTTTGTGTTAGTTGGCTGTATTTCTAAAAAAAAAAAAAATCCTAAATGTTATTCTTAAAATTAGTGAAGGACCAATATAGAGCTGGCATACTAAAAAAAGGACTGCATTTATGAAAAACATGTATCATACCTTTTCATATCCGCTGAGCATGCAGACTGGATAAAACTCTGCTTTCATAGTTGTGAGCTTAAAGCAGCTAAGCTTTGGCTGGCGCTGTGTTGGTGAATCTTCCATGTGTAACACCTACACTAAATCTGAATATAGGTGAGCAAGAGAAAAAAGAAATCTGTGATGTACTGATCCAGGAAATGAGTGTATAACTGTACTGTGCATCTGCTGCTGAACGGTGTAATATATACGCAATGTCGTGAATTCTCACAGAAATACTAACAGAAACAGCTGTGAAATAGAATGCCAGTGGGGAAAGTTTGGTTTAACTGAAATAACTGTAGGGGTTGCCTGCAGCCTGAAATGTAAGGATTTATGACTTTTGTAAGAAGATTGCAGCATCATATTATAATACAGATTTTTTTCTTTGCTATAAATAGCACTTTCTCATGGTCTTTTTGACACCCCAAACCAGAGTTTTGTAAGCTAATTTTGCAGTTTCAGCAGCTGCTTCGGGATGGATACCTTAAGGTAATGGTGCATCTGGCCTGTAGTACCGACAGCCGTGTAAGCGGGACAGCATAAAACTTAATTGCCACTTTCTCCTTAAAGCTACTATGTATTGTGCAATGCTCTGTTGTTATTTTCAGCTTGTTGAACTGTTATTTTGTCTGTTTTCATATCTCAGAAACAAACTCTGAGAAACTGAATTTCCTTCATCTCTCCTCTAATTGGTTCCTTTAATAAGATGATGTGTGTAAGTAAGGTAAGCCCTACAGAGAAATCGGGCCAGGAGCGCCGGTATTCCCTGCCGGCTGGCTCCGGGGAGCTGCCGAGCCGCTGTGCCCGGAGCGCGGTGCTTCCCGCGGGGAGCCGTGGAGAGCAGAAGGCAGCCCGGCGGGTGGAAACGCTCCTAAGAGCAGAAATGGAGGTGCCAGGTGTCCTGGCTGCTGTCCGTGCAAGCAGTGAAATTAAAATTGATCTTCATAATGCTTTTAAGATATTTTGTTTGTTTGTTCTTTTAATCTTTGGGACTACGACGAGCAGCAGCTTTCAGTGGCATTATTTATGATGCGACCTCCTTTATTATGCGTTTACAACTGGCACAAGCCTTCCAGTGAGTAGTTAGATTTTGTATTCTCTCGCCTGGATGGGTAGCGAACTGCATCTGCCGCTGCTCTGACATCCCTGCTCCTTTCTCTGCTCACCTCAGCTGCGTGCCATGGCTGTCCTTGCTATCGCCCCTTCCAAAAAGGGCGAGGAAAAAGGTGCCACTGTAGTCCCATTTTCATAAAGAAATGTAGCTAAGGAAGGTGAGATACACCGTGCTGGGAGGCAGCACTGCTGCTCTCTGCTTCCCGGTAGGTGTGAGTGTGGAATTGGGTTGCAGATGCAGCCACCCCTCCGCTGAGGAAGAATTATCCTCGCGTTTCAGGGATCGGACATCGTGGGGACTCATTGACACTTCTGCCTCTTGCTTAGTCCAGGAGAGCATGTTGTAACGTGAAATGAATGATTCTGCGTTGTAATCCTTTCCTACTCTCTTTGTTAAAAAAGTGGGGAGGGAGTAGAAATTTAAGAAAGGGAAAAAACAAATGTCATAGAGAAGGGAAATTAAGGTTTGCTCAGAAAACGAACACGTAAACGAGGAGAGAGGTGCTGGCGGCGGTACGACCAGGGAGGGAGGGAGGGAGGGAGGGAAAACGCCCCGGCTGCCTCCCCAGAGAGCCCCCGCCCTCAGCCGCAGCTGTCAGTGAAGGCAAGTTTTGCGGCGGGGGCTCCCTGAGCCCCGGAGCGGTGCGGTACCGGGCCGGCCCGACGGGGCGGGGGCGACTGCGGAATCCCTGCGGCGCTGCCCGGGCCCCGGGGCTTCCCCTTCGATCTCGCCCCGCTCCCTCACGCCCCGGCAGACGACTACATTTCCCAGCACTTCCCTCTTCCGAGCGGGCTCTGCGGGGAGCCTCGCCGCTCTCGCCATCTCCTCCGCTGGCAGGGGGCTCGGCGCGGCGGCGGGGCGGAGCTCGGCAGCCCCGGCCCCGCGGCAGCCGCGGCCCCGCAGCCCCCCCGCCCGTGCAGGCGCGGAGCCGGCGGCGCTCGGCGGCGAGCGGGGCGGCGGGCAGCGCCATGCGGGCTGCCGCCTGCCTCTTCTGCCTGGCGCTCGGCGCCCTGACAGCGGCCCCAGGTGAGTGGCGGTGCCGGGGCAGCGCCGCCGCGCTCGGGGCGGGGGCGGCGGGGAGGGGGGGACGCCGCGGCGAGGCTGCTGCGGAGCCCCATGGAAACGGAGCCCCCGCTCCAGCCTGCCTGCCGGGGGTGACAGTGCCTCCTCTCCCCTGCGCAGGAGGCGCCGGGCCGGCGGCAGCGGCAGCGGGGCGGCGGGGCCGGAGCCCCTTCGCGGAGCGAGAGAGCATCAGGCCCCTGCGGCTGGTCTCCGGCGAGGGCGGCGGCGGGGCGCGGTGGCCGGCGCTGAGCACGCGGGTGCGGAGCGAGGCGGCGCGGGCACAGGTAAGCGCCGGGCGGGGGACAGGGGCCCGCGGAGGTGCGGGGGGAGCCCCGCCGCACCCTCCGCCGCGGGGCTTTGCACCGCCGGGGCATGGATAGCGCCCGGCGCGGAGCGATGCTCGGTTCCCGCAGGAGCGCGGGGAATGCCAGTCGTGTGCAAGGGCGCCCGGTTTGGTGAAGATGGTCCCCGTGCCTGTTAATGGCCAGCCCCGGGCGGCAGCGGGGCCCGGGCGGGCACAGCCCGCTGCCTGCGGCGGCCGGGGCACCCGAAATGAAAGTTGCGGTGCCTTTGCGACAGCGGGGCTTGGAACGCTGCGGCTTCTGGCTGAAGCGTGGGCAGGGTGGGTTGGTGTTCTGTGGACTCGGATGTGATTTTAAAAATAGAAATTGTGTATCGGAAGGGAATTGCTTGAAATGTAACATGTGAACTAAACACAGGATTTAACGTACTTATTGCCTGCTGCCCAACGCGGGGTATATTTTCAAATTCCATAGAATCATAGAATTATTAAGGTTGGGAGAGCCCTCTAAGATGATCGAGTCCAACCATTAATCTGGCTCTATTTTTGTTAAAAACCATATTTCTGTTATATGAAGACCAGTCTCTATAACTTTTATCAACCTCACTTTGTATTAAAATACAGTGATTTTCATCTTGACCCCTTTTGTTTGAGGTGGTACACGGCTGTTACATCTGAAGGAAAAGAAACCTTGAGTCCATACTGTTATAGATGTAGAACATAAAATCTGAGCATTTGAGGTAACTTCTGCCATACAGGATGAGTTGCAGGCCTCTGTTTCCTCCTTTTCTAATTGACTATGCTGTATTTAAGAAATAAAATAGGTGAAAAAATTCTCATATTTATTTTTTAAATCATCCATGAAGTATAAGAACCCAACTTGCATTCTCTTTGTTTAATTAAATAATAACCAAGCTCTTCATAGCATATGTATTCACCTCCGACAGTAGCTTACTCATGTAAAGATTTGTGTATGAAGACCATATTTACAGTACAATAGAATACAATTCTCAAAGTTTATAATGCCTTGTTCAAAGATGAAAAAAAATCCTTTAGGCATTTCAGGATTCTTTGAAGACCCCCAAAAAGTCACAAGTTCAAACACTTTGTCACATGTTTTAAACTTAGTAATGGTTGCATTTGGCTTCAATATTAGGCTTAAAATACTGGTCTTAATGAACAAACAGCTAATTAATGGATTTTGTTTTTCTGAATGTCCCAGCTTTTATTCACCAAATCTTATGCTCATAAAATTTTCAAGTCATCCTGATATAGTTGCTGGTATGAATATTAGTCTAAGTAGAAAAAAAAGTAACACAAGTGGTTTGAAAAGGGTTAAATACATTTATTTCACAACAGCCTCCATAGCAAACCAATGTTAATGTGTAAAAGCTCTGATGTAAAGGTGAAAGCTACTACAACTTTTATTCCTGATCAAGAAGTTTCCCCTCTGCTGCTTAAAATATTCCCAGCCTCTTCCATGGTATCTGATGGTTGTTACTCATGGAGGGATACAGTAGCTGACAATGCTTTGGACAAAAAAATTTGCCAAGCAGGCCCAACAAAGTGAAGCAGTACAGATTTTCTGTAATTCTGGCACAGAGCATGTTACATCCTAATTGCAGGATATTGCATTCCTTGCTCAGAGATCTGAGTCAGCTCGGCAGCAATGGACCAGCAGCGTGGCTGACTTTGCTTAACTGAAGTTGTGTCGGAGCTGCCTTTAGGAGGGCAATTATCAAACTTAGCAAAGTTAACTTCACAGACTGAACTTTCATGGTGCTTTTGGGCGTCTGGTGAATGTCACATGAAGTATAAAGATACGGGATTCTGCTCGTACATGAGGGAGACACCCACGCCTGTCCTGAAGAGTTAACAGTCAGTGGCACGTAAAGAGTAGGGGAACAGAGGTGCCCTCTACATCAATAACATTTCCATATGTGTTTGTTTTATGATTAAATACACTCCATGGGCTGTCTCCATGTTCTATCCACTGCTAATAGTCTTTGTGTAGCTGTATTGGAGAGTTTAAAAGCTGGTTTTGAATACAGATTTCAAACCGAATGGCCTTCTGAATTAGTTAAGGGAGCATGCTTCTTTGAGGAGGTAAAGGCATTCAAGAAGAATCCCTGGTGAGTGAAGGACTAGCAACCTTTTCTAGAAAAACAAAAATACCTGAATGGGAAGGTGCATTCAGAGGACTAGCCAACAAGGCTGTAGCTGAATTAATGTAAAACAACGTAGTTGTGTTTTGAATCGGATAAAGATAAAAAAGGAGGGGGGGTGCAGGGAGAGATAAGCTGGAGAGAAGGAAGTTGCATTAAATCGGATTGGATTCCTTTAATTCCTGGATGAAAGCTTTAGCTGCAGAAAGGGCAGAAGTTGAACAAGAAGGATGCAAGCCTGAGTTCAGAACTGCACAAAAGGAAATGAAGATGATCATGCAGAGGAATGCAGAAGAAAAGCGTGGCCTTTGCAGATCAGGAGTTTTAGAACAGGATTATGATGGAGTTGAGCCAGAGGAGTGCAATACGAGAAAAGGAGGTGAAAGGAGATAATTGAAGACAGAAGTGACTGGGAAGTGATGGATGGCGGATTTCTAAAAAATAATGGTTTGTTTTCAGCATTTGTTGAGGTTTTTCTCTAGCAACTTCCTTTATTTTGTTTGCTTTGGGGTTTTTGGGCCATTGCCATCAGAGTTGAGTGACTTCTCTACATGCATGCTTTACTATTAAATAGTAAAGGAAACAGTGTATAAACTCATCGTAGAAACCCAGAATGTAATTGCTTAAAAACATAATTAATATGCTCACAACTGTAGTTGTCCAAGATAGCTGAACCTCAGAACACAGCACAAGGAAAATGTTGCAGTGGCATGTGCATGCCATTAATGTTTTAATGTACAATATATAGTGGGCATTGGAGAATTCATGTGACTTTGGGCTTCTGCTTTTGATTCCATTGCAGAATAGAGTCATTACTGGTATCTGTGACACCCCTGTATTTTGATTTCTCTGTTCCTCAAAGGGTGCCTGTTAGCAGCTGCACAGCACTTGGTGTATAGAGTAATCAAGATAAGATATTGCTAAAAATACACTAATATTGTATTATCATTAATGCAATCCAGAATCTTGGCAATGGACACCTAATTTACTGTTGCATAAATAAGTGTATTAGAAGATGAGATTCCTCTATGTCAGGGACATTCAGGGAAGGCTAATCTAATATTTTTGTGTTTGAAAGAAGGAAAGTTCCCACATTTTTTAAGGAACCTTTTAACTCCCTGCCTTAAGCCGTATTTTGGTATTGTAAGAAGCACATGGGAAACCACAAGTTTTGCAATATTTTCCTTTAGTCAATATGGTGTAGGCATTTTCTTTGTTAAAATGCGGGAATGTGTAAGCATCCCTCCCCACTGCCTGTATTATCATTATCCATTTTTGATACATCTAAGTGTTACATGGAAATTTGTGAGATTTGGCATGATTTTCAGTGGGAACAAAGTTCTGACCTGCTATGGATCGAGATTCACTCATCTCTGCTGGTTGTACAGGAAATTCATGATATGTCAATTTCTGTTTCTCAAGGTTCTGTTTTTCCCTTGCTCATTGCCCGTTGTCGCGAAGGTACACTGGATTCCTCGGAGAGAGTGAGAGAGGTGACCTGGTTGTAGGGAGCCTGGCCTGAAGGGACTCCAGGACTGAGCTGCATCTGCAGACAGAAGTGCATGTTGTTTGTAGTCCAGAGTGAGTCAGTAGTTTTCAGTAAATAAATTGTTTGTCTTCTGCAGCCTGTGTCTCTTGTGAGCAAATGATACAATTGCGTACACCTATTTGGAATCATGGCTTGCAGATTTCTTAAATGATTTCTTATTGCTAATAATCAATTTCAGAGAAGCTTTGCTCTGTCATGCTGAGTTTGCATAGCCCTTGGATTTGAAATCTTCATTAGTTATTCAAGTGTTGCCTAGTCTTTGCTATTGGATTCTCGGCTTTCCTGTTGTCTCAGTCTAGTCTTCAAACAGGATATCCCTGTTCTTTGCAGGTGCTTCTGAAATTGCTGACTCTTGCTTTCTGTTCTGAAGCTGTCAATTTCTGTTGGTATTGTAAGTTACTGTTTTGGGTAGCTCCAACAAATAGTATTTTTTTTTCTTTAAAAAAAGCACTCTGACTGTTGAGTGGCTTATGAAATATCTCTCGACTTTGGGACTGATGGATGGTGACTGTTGGAAAGAGAAGTGTCATGAGAAATTTCCTGATTTAAAAAATCTTTTTCTGCCCACTTAATCAAATTACTTCTGTCTCTTGAAGAAACTTAGGCACAATTTTTGATCATCCTAACACAAAACCAAAGGGAAGGAGGCTAAACTAGGAAAAGGGCTATAGTGAGTAATAACATGCATTTGGTTTATTGCTGAATTTGGTTTTCTTCCTGCCTTGTTGCCTCATAAGGTTTGTAAGGCATTAGGCAAAATGTGTGTGACACTTTACTGTATGTTCAGTGTATGCAGTTCTGCAGTATGATAAGATACTTCACCAACATTGCAATATTTTATGAATATGTGAATGATAGTTAAAATATTCATACTCTTGATGCAGGTCTTGCCTTCCTGAAGAGGAAAAAAACTGCTAAAAGAGCTAAACTTTGCTACAGATTGCATGTTGAATGATGTAAGGGCATAGAGGGTGTCCTTTAATTTCTGATGTAAGAGGCACTTTCAGGTACACCTTTTTATAAAATACTCAAAGAGTGTTTCGGTATTTTATAGGCAAAGAATATTTCATATTCCTGATTTATCCTTCTTTGCAAGCTCATATCAGGAAAAGTCTGATAATGAGATTTTTTTTTTGACAGTAAATGCAGAAGTCCAAAAAAATCATTCAACAAAAAATCTCTGGTAGCTGCTGCTTCTGAGTTCATGTTGTTTTGTGTCATCTTCTCGTGCTTGTGCCATAGAGGACTGGAAAACAGAGATATTCCTAA